CTCGGGCGCGGACGCGCTGAGCGCGACCCCCAGGAGCAGGCACACGGCGAGGGGGCCCCAGAGGTCCCACTCCTTGAGCCGCTCGAGCGTGTCCGCCTGGCTCGCGCGCGGCGCGACGACGAGCCGGAGCTTCGCGCAGACCTCGCGCGCGTCGCGCAGGAGCGTCTCGGCGACGGGCTCGTCGAGCGTGCCCGACCGGAGCGCGGCCAGGGGCACGCGCGACGCGCCGACGGGCTCCGGCGCCGACGCGAAGCTCGTCGCGACGGACCGCGGGTCGACGACGAGGGGCGCGGCGTCGTCGTCGAAGGCCGCGGCGTCGTCGTCGAAGAAGGCCTCGGCCGCCGCGAGGTCGCGCACGGCGTTCTGCACGGACGCGTCCTCGAACGCCGAAACGCCGTCGAGACCGTCCATCGATCGACGGCCGTGACGCTTGCGCTCGACGACACAGTGGCGACGAGCTCGAGCCTGCACTTCTGTAGACGCTTGCCGCTCGACGACTGTGGCTGTGGCGGCTTCTTGTGGTCGCTTGCCGCTCGACGACGATGGCCGTGGACGCGATCGATGGCGCCGCAGCCGCGGCTCCCACCTCGCCTCTCCTCTCTCTCGGCTGCCGCAGATGCTGCGCAAACATCCACAAAATTTTCAGCGAGCGCGTCGCTAGCGTGCGATGGTTTGGCGTCTGTGCGACTCGGCTTTGGCGAGTGCTCCATCGCATACAAGGTCCGTCGCCGCGTTCGAGAGCACCGATGCTCCCACCGCCATCGCGGGGCCATGGAACAGCGGCGTCGGACGCTGGGAACGTCGCGGCCGTTCTAGGGCGCGGCTGTTCTAGGGCCCGCGCGCGCTCGCGGGGCAAGCGCCGCTCCGTCGTTTCGTGGCCCGCTTCTCGCCGGGTCCGCTGCGGCCGCGCCCGACCGCGATCGCGCCTAGCGCCGGCGGCGCCTCTTGCGGGCGGCCCGGGGCGCGCAGGCCGGGCAGAGGAAGCCGTCGAGCGCGCCGACGTCGGCGTCGTCGACGCCGACGCAGGCCGGGTGGAACCAGCCGGCGCAGCCGTCGCAGGCCACGTAGAGCGCGCCCGGGTCCTCGGGCGTCCGGCAGACGCAGAAGAGCTCCTCGCGCGCGCCGCGCGCCGCGCGCCGCGTGGGCGGCGGCGGCGGCGGCGCGCCGGCGAGCGCGTGCGCGACGGGCGGGTCCGGGAAGAAGAAGGGCGTGTGGCGGCCGCAGTAGGCGACCGCGTCGCCGTCGCCGAGCGCGAGGCCGAGGCCCGCGGCGAGGCCGCAGGACGGGTGGAACCACGCGGAGCACCGCGTCGCGTTGCCCGTCCGCGCGCAGCGGACGACCGCGCCGCCGCCCCCCGGGCCCCGCGACGGCCGCCCGACGGCGCCGCAGAGCGCGCAGGCCTTGGCGAAGCGCTCCGCGCGTACGCCGTCGAGGCCCGTCACGGGCGCGAGCGCGGCGACGTCGCCGAACGCGCACTCGGACACGTACAGCGCGCAGTGCACGTGCGCGAAGCCCCCGCCCTCCGCGGGCTGCATGGCCCCCCCGGCGTAGGAGCAGAGCGCGCAGGCCGCACCCTCGACGCCCGCGGCGCAGGGGCCGCAGGCGAAGGTCCGCGCGCGCGCGGGCGCGCCGACGCAGCGCGCGTGCGCGACGACGCCGCAGCCGCAGGTCGCGAGCGCGCCGAGGCCCGCGCCGCCGCCGCAGACGCCGCAGACGCCCGGCGCCGGCGCGAAG